CAGGCGCACATACATGTACAGTCACAGGCAAGCGCACATACATGTACAGTCACAGGCAAGCGCACATACATGTACAGTCACAGGCAGGCGTACATACACGGTCAATGGCAGGTGCACATACACGGTCAATGGCAGGTGCAGACACACAAACACAGTCACGGGCAGGCGCACACACACAAACACAGTCACAAGCAGGCGCGCAACCAAACAGTCACAGGCAGGTGCACATACAGGAGGAAGATGTAAGTCGTGTGTATTATTTATATTCATGTAGTACAGTAGAGTCGTAAACCTATAGTCTGGAGTAAAGTTTAATTCGTTGATGTTGGTCTGTACAGTGTAGCAATGTTACCCGTGAAATGAAGAGTATACACTGAATAATGCACAACAGTCCTGTTCGACTCTACAGTAATCGGATGAAGTCATTTCCATTCACAGGTATGTTATGATGAATTAAGCTACAGTTACCAACAAGAAGCAATAGCGTGTAAAGGAAGTATTTGTGGAGACCTGCTGATTACCAGACAACTGTACAAAGTATGTTTAGCTTATGTAAATGTACTCTCACACACTTGTCTTGCAGCATTTGTGTATTAAGTCAATTGTGTGTGTGGGGGGGGGGGGATTTATGCCGATTCTCCTGTGACTGCTTTGTTTAGTTCACAGTCTAGGTGTAAAGCACTGTATTTCATAGCCCTGATAAATTGGCAACTTAACTGTTTTTGCCTGGGGGTAAAATATGTATGCGAGTTCCATTCCAATTTATTGGAGAGAGAACTTCCTCCAACCAAGTCTGAAACTAATGCCGTAATGAAGACAGCTGTCAATCATCTCGAAATTGTGATTTATGAACACTGGTCCATAATTTCACAACTGTAAAATCAGCAGCGCTTCCACCCAAGACTGGCAGCTTCCCTGTATGAAATAAATGTACACTGTACTGTACTCCATTACGAGGCACACCCAGCACACTGTGTTGGTGGTGATCTGACACACTATGTTGTTGGTGATTTTCAACACACTGTCTGCTGCCCGTCTGAACAACCACCCCCCAGGGCATACACTGAAGCCTCTCATTAACTCACAACTCTCTAAGAGAAACTCGTACACGTCCAGCCTGTGAGTGTCCGTCTTGTGCTGTGACTCAGTATCATGAACCAAAGTTCCTGCGTCACCACCACGGCTCAAATCACACGTCAACCAACCAATGAAATACTGTACTTTTATTTTTTCAAACGTTGCCCAAGTAATCATCTTTAACCCAAGCTAATCCCTAAACTACCCTGGCCAACAATAATCCTATCCTATTACAGCCTCTCTCCACATGGCTCCTATGTAGACCCTTTGGTGGAATGTGACAAAATCTGTGGAAAAGATCGCACTGAGGAACCTTTTTGGTGACTGTACAGGATCCTAGTGTGATCTTTTCAACTTGGACTTATCACGACTTAGGGCACCATAACTCTCACCTCTACCCGACAACATGTAACGACTTAGGACACCATAACTCACACCTCTACCCGACAACACGTATATAACTGTACCATAAAACTAGTTTGGATTCTTCTTTCATTGAATCATCGATGATACCGGTTCTTAAATCTCACAACAGCGTATAAGTAATATTTGGCTAATTGAACATGATACACGATGCAAGCAAACCTTTCTGAATTAAATTATTTACCCTTGTAGGACGCATGATTGGTAAATACTTGCTAACCTAAAATAAACTTTCTAAAAAAAATGTTCCAAGGAAGGAATTTGTGAGTGTCAGTGAATGTAGTGTTAAGTATTTTTTGTGGTGAGAACAGCGTGAGTTATGTTACAATCGTGTGTTTTCTTTCCTCAATATACAGTATATGGATTTGGTAGTCGTGTGTGTGTGTGTGTGTGTGTGTGTGTGTGTGTGTGTGTGGGGGGCTGGGTTAAGTCTATTGTGATGTTGTTAATATACACACACACACATATACACACACACACACACACATACACACACACACACACACACACACACATATACACACACACACATATACACACACACACACATATACACACACACACATACACACACACACACACACACACACATATATATACACACACACACAAAAGAGGGCATGCAAGATTCTCTCCCTCTTACCCACACATATCAAGAAGCGCTCAACACACTGACCCTTTCGACTCTCATTGACCATCACCACGACCTCATCTGCAAATTTGGTAAGAAGCTTCTACACCATCCTCGACACCGGCTCCTACTACCACCTGAGATCCCTAGTCCGAGAATTGCTGTTCGACACCACAACCGCATCCAGCCCATACGTGCACGAACTGATCGCTATAAGAACAGCCCAGTCCCAACCATTGTAAAAATTATCAATAACTTGTAATAAACTAGTGTATTCACTCCCAGTAAATACTACTTGCACTGTCACCATGTTGAAAATGCACTGTAGTTTGAGCTTTTCCCCATCTAGTTATATATCTATCACTTATGTTACTTGTAAGTATATTTGTAATTCGTAACCCATTCCCCAAATATGTAACTGTATATATACACACAATAATAATGATATGATAGGAAGTATTTAAGTGGTGAAAGGAATCAATAAAGGGGATATAGATAAAGTTCTTATAATGTCCGAGCAGGATAGGACTCGGAGCAACGGATTCAAGTTGGATAAGTTTAGGTTTAGGAGGGAGATAGGAAGAAACTGGTTCACAAATAGGGTGGTGGACGAGTGGAACAAGCTTAGCAACTTTGTAGTAAGTGCGGGAACTCTGGAAAGTTTCAAAAGGAGGCTAGATAGATTCATGGATGATAGAGAGTGGTAGTAACTCTCGACAGGAGCTGCCATGCACAGACCAACCGGCCTATTGCAGACTCCTTATATTCTTATGTACACACACACATATATATATATATATATATATATATATATATATATATATATATATATATATATATATATATATATATATATATATATATATACATTTACATATATACATATATATATATATATATATATATACACACACACATATATATATATATATATATATATATATATATATATATATATATATATATATATATATATATATATATATATATATATATATATATATACCGCTAATAGTTTGTCAAGTAAGTGTATAAGTAATTAATAGTGCTTAAGTAATTAATAATGTGTAAGTAATTAATAGCATATAAGTAATGAGTTTTGTGTTGAAAGTCCGAAAAAAACGACTTTCAATTTACTTAAGGAACTATTAAGAAGTAGGTCGTGACCTGTGAACTGGAAAAAAAATTCAATCAATTATTTTGTCATCGGAATGACTTGGTAGTTCTGGCGAAAGTCAGTTAATAGGTTTTTTGGCAATTCACCAGTAAGTCCAAATGAAAAATCTCCACCCAGCTTATTTTACCTTGAGATTAACCACCCGAACGATATTTGGGGGATGGGGTTAGGTTAGTGTTAGATTAGTGTTAGGATAGGGGTAAATATTCGCCCATTGGCTGTCCTCGGGTTCTGGTAAGACAATAGGTTATTAGGGGTTTTTACTCAAATCTGACCTTCATTTCTTGTGCAAATCACCGGTTTTTGCAAAAAATAATACATTTTTATTTTTAACAGTAACCGCTAATTTGTACAAAAAATGGAGGTCAGATTTGAGTAAAACACACCAAAAGAAAAACTATTCCCATACCAAAGGAACCCAACCTAACCTACAAGGGGGTCAGGAGACAGCTGATTAAGTGAGTATAGTCTCAGGTAAACATGGCGGGAACCTGTTAACAGCGAATGGACGAATAATTAAGAACATAGAACATAAGAAAGTGGGATACTGCAGGAGGCCGACTGGCCCATACAGGGCAGATCCCTTTCACACCCATCCCAGCACGTCCATGTGCCTATCCAACTTCGTCTTGAAGCTCCCTAGCGTCCCCGATCCTACTATAGCACTCGGTAGCCTATTCCACATATCCACAACTCTATTACCAAACCAGTGCTTGCCTATATCCTTTCTGAATCGGAATTTATCTAATTTAAAGCCATTTGTTCTAGTTATTTTGTTATTACTGAGCTTCAGAACATCTTCCATTTTACCCTTGTTAATCCCACTTACCCACTTGTACACCCCCTCCATATCTCCCTAACTCTCACGCCTCTCTAATGAATGTAAGCTAAGCTTTTCAGTCTTTCATATATGGAAGGTTTCTAATATTATGGATCATTTTTGTCATTCTTCTTTGTACTCTCTCCAAAGAATCTATGTCCATTCTATAATAAGGACCCAGAACTGAACCGCATAATCCATGTGCTCTCACTAATGCTAGGTAAAGTTTCAAGATAACGTCAGCAGTTCTGTTACTCACAGACCTAGATAGAACCCAAGAATCCTGTTTGCCTTGTTGCGAACTTTCTATACTTGTTTTCTAACCAAAATCAAGTAACAACACCTAGCTTTTAACAAGTGAGTCTTAGTAAACGTGGTTTAACTACTAACGCGTATGGACGTTATTAACCAAGACAGGTTAGGTTTTATTAGGTTAGGGTGGTTAATCTTTAGGTGAAATAAGCCTGGGTGGAGAGTCTTCAGGTGATCTAAAATGAAAATTAGGTCTTCAACTCCCCTCTACAAACTCCTACCTGACAGTCAGACCATCAACCTAACTTAACCTCACTTAACTATCACCAACCACTATCGGTAAAATTATCGTTTCAGGGGGGAGATATATATATAACTTCCATCACCATTGTTACAACACCTAACTAGCGAGTTTCAAATACCATAACACCTAATGTCCACCTTCACAAGAGTGGATTGCCTTGTCTACCATTCAAAGTACAGAGAATAACGTTAATGACAGACGTACATGGTCAGTCATTCGCTGTTGGGGAAAATCGGGCGTCAGCGCTGTGTTAGTTAAGTTTCAGCAACAGAGGTCACACCTTTAACCCCTGACACACACACCCGTTAACACTTACCTCACCACTTGTTATTGGTTAACACTCCTGCACGTATTTTCCTTTGTCTTGTGTGTAGATATACTTAAATACACCACAGGGCTAAAGTTTCTTCCACAAAACTTGACAATATCCCCCCACACTCAGCAGCACACACTCACGAACATCCTCACTTTGTCAAGTCAAGGTATCAACTGCGACTCCCTCCAGCACAGCCGGGCCAGCCACCAGTTTTCCTCCGGTCACTCGGATAACATTTTCACGTCGCTTAATGTTCACGAATTATTCCCTTGTATCTTATGTAAGAATTCAAATTGAATAATTCAATTACTATTTTTGTTTTTTATATTATGATGTTTCGTAAAAGATCTTCACTTGGGTTACTTACTAAGGTTTATGAGGAACGTTTACAATACACGCCACCAAGAGCAGTCAAGGTGGGCTAACTGTCTTAAAAGGTAGATGAAAATGTGCTGTTTGAAGCTGTATTTCCTCACTCACGATAACGCCATTATATATATGACAAATTCAAATACTTTCTACATGAATGTATCAACTAATTCATTACAGTGTTACATCGTTCATGGCTTTTAAATGTTTTGTGAAAGATTAACCATCAGTGGCCCCCCCCCCCAGCACTATTGGCGCACCTGTCATTCTGTGGTGAATCTCTTCATTAAATCGCTTTACTTAATATTCTTGTTTGAATATCTACACTGCCAATGTATACAGAGAGTTGTGAACTCCTGGAACAATCTGCCAGAGTGTGTTGTTACGGCACCGAGTGTGAGCTGTTTCAAGACCAGACTTGACCAACACTTTTTTTTTAGTTTAACAAATTTATTGGCAAAGCTTGGAGTACAGTTTGCCTATTGTGAGTAATTCAGTCAGGTCTTGACACTGAGGGTGGTATTGTAGTGGATTTCTCCCCTACAAACGCTGTTTGTCGCTGAGTAGCCAACCCCGCGAATTCCCCAGTGTATGCCTCGTGGTCTAGGTCAACCAGAGCCGCCATACATCACGGAGGTCAACTACTAAGCCACGCCTACCCCCGCTATTTAAGACCTGACCTCGTGGTGACCTGTCTCTTTCTACCTACACCAACCAGCCAGCAACACCTCCTCCTCCTCCTCCGCTGCCTGGCGGCCCTGGCTCCCGCCGGCGAGCATGGCGACCCACAAGCTGTCCTCCTCTGAGCATCCTCACCAACCAGCTCTCTCTACATCACGCTTGTAACCACGCTGCCACTTCCCAGCACCAAGCTGCATTGTACATCCAATACAACATGTATACAGAGAGCACATTGTGAGTTTCCTTTCTCCATCCCATCCTGAGTGTGAACCAACATCTCGTACCCCACAGTATCACTTCTCACTGCCACGCAGGACAGAGGTTCGACACTGGAGCAGGTTCAGATACATTCAGGAGCCAGTTCATGCCCAGTACTTGCCAACAGTATGTAACAGAGACGTGACCGATCGCCCAAGCGGATAACGAGCCAATCATTGGTGAAGAGGATAAAAGTAGAAAGTAATACTTATTTTGTCCAGCGGTTAGCGTTCCCCGGTCACAGTCATGGGCTCGTGGGCCGTGGGTTTGAATCCTGGCGGGTTGAGGTGTTGATTATATATATATATATATATATATATATATATATATATATATATATATATATATATATATATATATATATATATATATATATATATATATATCTTGATAAAATCACACGTCAGCTATACACTCCTCCATACAAATGCTTGTGGACAATTCCAAGTTATTTAGGGAAATTAAAAACCTAACAGACTGTGAAGAGCTGCAGAAAGATCTCTATGAGCTTCAATGTCATGAAATGCAAGACGATGCATTTGGGTCGCACCAACAGTAAGGAGTTGTATCACATGTCGCAACAGGATGAAGAAACTGCATTAATTGAGACCGAATGTGAAAAGGACCTGGGACCTCGGGCCATTGAGAGAAGAATGTGAATCAGGAAACGAAACTAGTAGGTCTTATAAGAAGGTCGTTTAGATATCTGGATGGTCCATCGCTCGTCACGATCTTCAAAAGTGAAGTGCTTCCCCGTCTGGAGTACTGTTACCCCGCCTGGTCCCAGAGATATGCTAAAGACAGTCAGCTGATTGAAAATGTCCAAAGGAGGGCCACCAGACTGGTGCCTGCTCTACAGAACCTCAGCTACCCAGAGAGATTAAAATGCCTGTAAATGCATTGCTTATAATACAGATGGGCAAGGGGTGACCAAATTGAAGTATATAAACATTTCAGAGGGCACTACTCAGTTGAATGTACAGTACAGTCGACCCTCGTTAAAACGGACTAATAGGGGGGAAGGGTGTCCGTTTTAGCCGATTGTCCGAATTAACCGATTTAGGGGTTAATATTGCATTATACAGCTATGTGTATGTTTATTTGAGTGCCCCGTCATAGGAGTCCGTTTTCTCTCACTTCAGCACTCCTGAGTCGTCCGTTTTCTCTTAATCTTAGAGTGCACCAGAGACTGTTATATCTTAGTAGTGACACAGAATTTGATATTGCAACTGGGATTGCAATTGTTGAGGCAACTTAGGTATGTCTGATTACAGTTGGAATATTCAAGACCCATTGTGAGTGATGTTTAAAGCTTCAACTGTCTTTATGGTTGGTAAAACTTGTCAAGTCTGTCAGTCTGAATGGCATGTGTGAGGCCTTGTGTTTGTACAACCGCTAAATATATAAATATATAATGTTATGATAATTATCAGAAACACATAGGCATAACGAGGTTTATTACAAAGTGATGAAAAGGATACTGTAAAGTGGCTAGTCCACAAAACATGTAGCCATGTCTCTTTATTTGAGTGCCCCGTCATAGGAGTCCGTTTTCTCTCACTTCAGGACGCCTGAGTCTTCCGTTTTCTCTTAATCTTAGAGTGCTCCAGGGACTTTGTTATTTCTTAGTAGTGACACAGAATTTGAAATTGCAACCCCAATTGCAACTGGGACAATCCCAGAACCAGTTAGTTAGTTGCTGAAGCACACAGTAATGCTGCCAGACGTATAATTCAGAGAAAATTATTATAAACAGCAAATGGCGAAAAATATAAGAAATCACTATTATGAACTAAAAAGCCAGACGTATAATTCAGAGAAAATTATTATAAACAGCAAATGGCGAAAAATATAAGAAATCACTATTATGAACTAAAAAGTAATGTTCAACTGATATATATTTTAAAACTATCTTCCATATAACGGATTTCTTTATAAAATCCGTTAGATGGGAGGTTTCAAAAGACTCTCGATATAATGGACTTTCACATCTATAAAGTTCGTTAGATGGAAGTTTTACAACGATATGAAGGATTGTTCTCCCCATGTAGAGTAGTTCGTTAAATAGAGGTTTTACAGTATATATTGAACCCTGTATTTAGGTCACTTCTCCCGTGAGGACCCGCGCTCAGCCCAGCCCGAGTCTAGTAATCCCGTGTCTTGAGCTGCAATATATTGGTTACGAAGCTCACCTCTCCCCAGGGAATCCTTCTTCTATTGCAGTTTAATCGTGAGTGATAAGGTCAAGTTAAATAAATCCTATCGCTGCAGTGTATTGAGATCTATAACAATTTTTAAGTCGCCTTTACTCTTGGTGATCACATAATAAAAACGACAAATTTATCTATTATTATTTTTTTTTGCATTTCATGTGTTTTTTTTTCGGATCACCTGAAGATTAATCCCCCTCCAGTTTATTTCATATCATGGGTAAATACTCCAACGTTAACTTAACCTAACATAACCTCACGCCAACATAACCTAACCAAACTTCCCAGAGAGGAGGGAGGGAGGTGTAATCTTTCACCAACGTTGGTCAGTTGTTTTTATGAGTAACAAATTTCCGTTTTACCCGCCGTTGACAGCGAAAAATTATATATACATTTTGTTTTTGTTTCATTTCCTGTTAACAGTAATCCCTGGAGTCACTCACGTTTATTTTCCTGCAACTTGTTTTAATTTCCTCGCAGTAACCAGGTTTCGCTTCAATGCGTCTACCTATTATGATTACTAATTGGTATTGGCCACTGTACCTTCCCTAGCTTACTGTTTTAACCTGATGATTAAACACCCTAACGCTAACCTAACCTAAACCTAACTCAAAGCTAACCTAACTTAACCTAACCTAACCTAACTTAACCTAACCTAAACCTAACCCAAAGGTAACCTAACTTAACCTAACCTGCCTTAAATTAATCTAAACAAACTCAACCAAATATGACTTACCCTAAACAAACTAACCTAACCAAACCTAACTTTACCTACTCGAACCTATCCCAACCAGACCTAAACTCAATAGTGGCCGGCCTAAATTTATTAATGACACCCTGTAATTAGACTAATGAGGTTGTTGTGTGGTGTGGCCATCATTAACGTAATAAGTCAAGCGCAAATGACATCATGGTGAGCAGAATTTGATGCCTGTCGCTAATCCTTGTGCTAACCTGCCTGTCTCTCCCTCCCTTCTTGCCTGCCTCCTAACCTCTCTCACCACCATCCCTACCCCCTAACCTCACTCCCTTTCTCTTAACCTTCCTACCCCCTATCCTCCCTCCTTTCCTATTGTCCTCCCTACCTCCTACCCTCTCTCCCTCCTAGCCTCCCTACCCCCTTCAGTATATTCTTGACTCCCTTTAAGTAACTCATGAGGAGGAAGAGAAGAGAGGTGAGGAGGAAGGGAGAGAGTTGAGGAGAAAGGGAGGAGAGGAGAAAGGAAGAGAGGTGAGGAGAAAGGGAGGAGAGGAGAAAGGAAGAGAGGTGAGGAGAAAGGGAGGTAGGGAGGAGAGGAGGAAGGAAGAGAGGTGAGGAGAAAGGGAGGAGAGGAGAAAGGAAGAGAGGTGAGGAGAAAGGGAGATAGGGAGGAGAGGAGAAAGGAAGAGAGGTGAGGAGAAAGGGAGATAGGGAAGAGAGGAGGAAGGAAGAGAGGCGAGGAGAAAGGAAGAGAGGTCAGGAGAAAAGGAGGAGAGGAGGAAGGAAGGAAGAGAGGTGAAGAGGAAGGGAGGAGAGGAGGAAGGAAGGAAGAGAGGTGAAGAGAAAGGGAGGAGAGGAGGAAGGAAGGAAGAGAATGTCAGGGAGAATTCCAGGGATGACAGAGGCGCCTCAGCCTCACCTCACCAGACCAGAATTCTGAAATACACACACGTTCTACTTATGCTTTTTTCTGCTCGTATATTAATCCATCGCTGCATCAACTATCATTCTACTTTTATTAGTGGTGAAGAATGATTAGCAACTGTCATTCTTTCCTTCCTTAACCTAACCCTAATTTAACCTACTCTTCCCTAACCCAACCTAATCCCCGATATAGCATTAGGGTGGTGAAATAAACTGTGGTATCTATCCTCAAGAGGCAATAGTTTAAAGGCAGCAATACCATCTCGGTCCCTGACGAGGAAAGAGGGCGAGCCATTCCTCTCTTTCCTCCTCAAACGAAATTGCAATCCATCAAGGGGACTTTACACTAGCTCTTGGTTGGCATCAAAGACAGAGAGGGAGACGGATATATAAACAGACATCATTATTCACGTTGAGATTTAATGGGAGTATTTTTTTAGTAGTTTTGTTGTGACCTGTATGAAGTACGTGTATCTTATTCAGGTCGAATGTTTTTATCAGTTTAAGCGTTTAGTTCTGTTTACACTACTGTATATGAGAGGCCGCAGACGAAGTGTTATGTAGACAGGGTGTGTTAGAAGAATATATACAGGTACGGGGTGTGTTCGAAAAATATGTATACAGGGTGTCTCAGAAAAATGTACGAAGGGTGCCTCACAAAAGTGTATACAGGGTGTCTCGGAAAAAAAGTAGACTGCACACACTGCCTTATACGGTTGGAAATTCGTATGAACCAGTGTGTATACATTTTTCTGAGACACACCTGTATATCTCTCACCTGTATATCTCTCTGCCAGGAGGAAACCCGAGGAATCAATATTTATTATAACTATACCTCTCATCAACTTGGTAACCGGCACATCTCTGAACAGCTTAACAATTCAGTCAACTTCACTCTACCTGTCACAAGTTGACAAAGTTCCCCAGGGGGCTGAGATCAAGGTGAAGGGTCGTGGTGTATTGTGTGGCTGTGGTGGTGGTGTAGCTGTGGAGGTGGTACAGGTGGTAGTGGTGATGGTACTGGTGGTGGTGGTGTGGCTGTGGTGGTGGACGTCAGGTAGTGGTCAGGCTCCGGAGGTCAACAATGCGGCTCACAGTCCCAAATGTCTAAGAGGATCACACGGCACACCGCACTGCATCGCTCTGAAGAGAAGGTGCACAGGGATGATAATAATAATAATAATAATAATAATAATAATAATAAATAAACACTAATAAAAGCAATAATAAAAACAATAATATTAATATTAATAATAATAATAATAATAATAATAATAATAATAATAATAATAATAATAATAATAATAATAATAAAAACAATAATAATAATAACAATAATATTTACTCGCTAAACTCATCAAAACGATTACAATGGGTTTCGTATGTAGAGGTAAGTAGACACCACATCACACTGCATCACACCACAACACAGCACAACAAAGTACAGCACACCACAGCATAGCAACACATAACAGCCCAAACCACAACACAAAGCAGCACAGCACACCACAGCAAACACGTAATACAACACAGGGCAACACATCATAACATAGTTCAAAACCGCAACACAACACCACAGCACATCACACCACAACACACACCACAATACAACACACCACACCACAACACATCACCACACATCAGAACAAATTCCTCTTATATGCTGACATTCTCCTGGTCGGTAGGAAGGTAGACAACACAGTAGGAAGGTCAACAACACAGTAGGAAGGTCGACAACACGGTAGGAAGGTCGACAACACAGTAGGAAGGTCGACAACACGGTAGGAAGGTCGACAACACAGTAGGAAGGTCGACAACACAGTAGGAAGGTCGACAGCACGGTAGGAAGGTCGACAACACGGTAGGCAGGTCGACAACACAGTAGGAAGGTCGACAACACGGTAGGCAGGTCGACAACACGGTAGGCAGGTCGACAACACAGTAGGAAGGTCGACAACACGGTAGGCAGGTCGACATATTATCGACACCGCGACGCTGAAGACTTTGATATAGGAGGTCGATACGACGCCACCGCAGAAGTTAATTATTTCCCGCGTTGTGGTAGAAGGTACACAGTATAATACACCTGGTGATATTAAGCCAGATAGTTTGTGGGGCATCATCGGTGTAAATTTCATGTCCAATTTGGTGATTTTTTTTGGGGGGGAGGGGAGGGAAGAGGAGGGAAGGGGAGGGAAGAGGAGGGGTGGAAGATCTGGCCTTTGATGTTAGGTGGTTCAAGTTTTCTCCAAATTCTGGTTGACTTTGCACGGAGTTTGTGTACATAATATTTTAGATGCACTTCTCTCTCACTTTCTGTATACCTGTGTATATTCTCCCCCCACCCACACCCCCCCTTCTCCCTCTTCTCCCCACCTCTCTTCTTACTCTTCCTCCTCCAACTCTTGTTCCTCACCCTCGTCAAACTCCTCCTCCTCCTCCTCTTCTTTCTCCCCACCTCCTCTCCCACACACATTTATCAACAATTTTCAGCTCTACTCCTACGCACCAGACAATTTCCACCACAAAACTCCGAATAGGCAATTGCCAGAAGCCAGCTCAAGCCTAGAACATTATTTCACGTATTAAAAGTCTATTACACTTTACATATTTTTCGCATTACGATGTTGTATAATTAATAACGTTCACTGTTATTTATTAATAATATAACGAAGTGTAATAGAGGATTATAAGAAAAAAAAATTTAAGAATTGGCAACTCATACACAAGTCATTTTAATAATTTATAATATTTTTTTATATCTTAATTTTATTTTTATCGGGTTTTTTATCTTTACCTTGTACTTAAATACACTTAAGCTATTATGTGTTGTGTAGTGTAGTGTTTGGTGTTACTTAAAGGCGAGTCGTGGTGGTGATAAGGTGTTACTGTAATGAGTTATCACTAGATTAACCTAACCACGGCAGCAGTCTCAGCGCCACTAACATTCTCTCAGCGCCACTAACTACAATCCCTCAACACTAACTACAACAATTCCTCAGCGGCACTAACTACAACAATCCCTCAGAGGCACTAACTACAACACTCCCTTAGCGCCACTAACTACAACAATCCCTCAGCGGCACTAACTACAACAATTCCTCAGCGGCACTAACTACAACAATCCCTTAGAGGCACTAACTACAACAATCACTGGGTTAACACCTTCTCTACTTCACCAACAACCAAAAATATTTAGTCTGGAGGTTTATTGTACAGCGTCAGTAAAGAGTAACTCACCCACCTCTAATTATGGTAAGAATTAGTCAACATTGATCAGATATTTCCATAGTTAAGGTTCAGATTAACAATGAGAAATGGTTTAAAATATAACCTGAAGATTTTACCGCCCCCCCCCTTAGTTTATTTCGTTTTAAATGCCTAACTACCCTAATGTTCATCAAACCTAACATATTTTACCCATTTTAACGCTAATCTTAGGTTAGATTGGATAAGATTATCGTTAGAATAAGTTGAATTAGGTTAGGTTAGGCGGTCCTAATGATAAATACAAGAGGCAAGAGCAGAGGTAAACCATAAGTGAATGAGAGAGAGAGAGAGAGAGAGAGAGAGAGAGAGAGAGAGAGAGAGAGAGAGAGCTGAGTGACGCGAGCCAGCAGTGTGGAGAGCCTGACAACATGCGCGAGGGTCGGCAAGGCGCGGCCCAGCGAGCTAGCATGAGCTTCAGTTTTGTCCAGCCAGTGTTGGTGTTACCGCAACGGCTCCCGGCCACCCGACGCTGTGAGACTTACCTGCCCGCGTGTGTACTGACCTGGGGTAGGGAGTGTACCTGACCTGGGGTAGGGAGTGTACTTGACCTGGGGTAGGGAGTGCACCTGACCTGGGGTAGGGAGTGTACCTGACCTGGGGTAGGGAGTGTACCTGACCTGGAGTAGAGTGTACCTGACCTGGGGTAGGGAGTGTACCTGACCTGACCTGGAGTAGTGAGTGTACCTGACTTGGGGTAGGTAGTGTACCTGACCTGGGGCAGGGAGTGTACCTGACCTGGAGTAGAGTGTCCCTAACCTGGGGTAGGGAGTGTACCTGACCTGGGGTAGTGAGTGTACCTGACCTAATCATCTAGTAACATTAACCTGGGATAATGAGGGCACTGAACCTGGGATAATGAAGGCATTTAACCACACTTCAGAAGTAATATATTACGTACTGAATATAATGGTACTAGTACTGTACATTGTAATATCTGGTTTAGTAGTACAGACACAGTACACGCCTCTCTGGTAGTACATTAAGACAGTACACAGATGAGAAGATTTTAGTACATTGTGAAGGTATGCTGTGGTGTGAACGGTATGCTGTGGTGTGAACTATGCTTATATTAGTAGTGTACTGGTATAACGTTAACACAACAATAAATAATGTCTCAATTAACAATAAATCAAATCTCAAGAATAAATTAAAAACATCGCCGTAAAATAAATTAAACATCATTAATAGCTACCAAACATAAATTTACATATTCGTCAAAAATAACACACAGTAAATTCACAATAACTTATAATAAATATTTTGCGAAAATATTATATCGCGAATTATTATGGAAACTGAAAGAGCTGAAAAAATTGGACTAAATAAAAATGAATTAATTCAATACTGGGTGATAATATAATAATATAATAATGAAATACATGAAAAATATTACAAATTAAATTATTGAAATGAAAATAAAACGATATATGTGGAAAATATTTTAGACAACTTGATTCATACACACGTGATGTGGTGAAAGGCTGGTGATGACCCCTGGTGGTGTTAAGACGTGCACACGTACGCACAGACGCACATAAACACACAGCAAATACACTCACACAGACATACATGTACGTATAGACACAAGCGCATATACAATGGCTGCACTCAAACGCACGCACGAACACACACACACACATGAGAGGTGTTACTCAAACATAATTTCTACAGAACACTTTAGGTTGAGTTAGGTTAGGAGAGGTTAGGTTAGGTTAGGTTAGGTTAGGTTAGGTTAGGAGAGGTTAGGTTAGGTTAGGTTAGGTTAGGTTAGGTTAGGATATGTTAAGATAGGTTAGATTAATATAAGTTAGATTAAGATAGGTCAGGTTAAGTTAGGTTAGGTTAGTAATAGGGATGTTAACCTTCAGTAGATACCAAACACTGTCCACTAACCTTAGTTATATAGGGAGAGAACGCGGCTGACACTGTACTCGACAAACTTCACTTGCCAAACTGCAAAAGCAGGCCGCCGTTCACAGCAAACCAACGAACCTTTGGAGAGTAAAAGAGCGCTCTAACCACTCAGCCACTGGTAGACATAAAATGGCACACGTTATACAGTACACATTTAACATTCGCTTAATTAATATAACTTATTTATATAATCTGAAAGCGGACTGAAAGTTTCTTATAAAGACACGAGTGTGTGGTTCATTATATATTACACACACACCACACACACACACACACACACACACACACACACCAAACGTACATAATACATATACATACACACGCACCAAATACACATACAGACACAGGTACACAGATGGATGAGGGTGTGTACATCTCTCCTGGCTGGGTGAAAAGTGTTGGAAGTGTGTGTGTGTAAGTTCCTCCAGACACGTACATGTTCTTAGTTCTATTTTAATTGTGTACACAGGTATGAACGTGTGTGTGTGTGTGTGTGTGTGTGTGTGTAGGTACAGAGTCTCTATTGTACACATTAAGGTTAAAATTGTGGGGGTACTTACATAGTGTTGCCCGTCTGTGTGTACCGCTCTCCCGGGGATGACTGATGTGTACATAATATGTGTATGTGTGTGTGCACAAGATGTTTTTGGTGTGTGTGTAACTCTATCACTATGCACACACCGTTACCAAGGCAGACTATGAAGTTTTAACCTAACAAACAAAATTTTTATAATTCCCCGACTGAAAAATGTTCTCAATAAATAACGTATATCCCAAAAGACTTAAAAAACAGTCAAACATTAATCTATTTATTTTATTTATCGTCTTTGGTCACTAAAATGATAAACACACGAATATGTGATCTAAATATCGTAAATAATTATTCAACTTGGAAAAATATAAAACAATTCTAAACTTTTATCTGAATCTCAAACCAAACCAAGAATCTGGTCATTAATTCCTCTCACATGGTTAAATAATACAATACCGTACACACTATACAAACAGTCAACACTATGTATGCACAAACCTCTTACACATACAGCCAAAATTGCACATACAACTACACACACACACACACTAAAACAGTCCCTATACACACACACATGTATGTACATAAAGTTTAAAGTAACGTCATCACTTTAAAATTATCAAGTATTCTTTTATATAAGAAAATATACGTCCACACATAGTATTACCCACCCCACATAGTCTATACCCCACATAGTCTATACCCCACATAGTCTATACCCCACATAGTCTATACCCCACATAGTCTATACCCCACATAGTCTATACTCCACATAGTCTATACTCCACATAGTCTATACCCCACATAGTCTATACTCCACATAGTCTATACCCCACATAGTCTATACCCCACATAGTCTATACCCCACATAGTCTATACCCCACATAGTCTATATCTCTTTTATTACAGGCAAGAACAACAAGTGAAGAATACACAAGGTAAACAACTTGTCTCATAACGTCTCAATTAAGAAAACTGTCAAGAACTTTTTTCCCAAGACATTAAAATTGAGAAAAATAAACAGGTCAGAGGAAAATGAACGTCACTGGACACGTTTTATGGTGAATTAAAAAGTTTGGGTAGTGAATTATGTGTGAGTGTTATGAGTATAGTGTTGATGTAAAGGTGTAGTGACGGTGAGAAACTACAGTGAGTGACGGTGAGGAGAAACTACAGTGAGTGACGGTGAGGAGAAACTACAGTGAGTGACGGTGAGGAGAAACTACAGTGAGTGACGGTGAGGAGAAACTACAGTGAGTGACGGTGAGGAGAAACTACAGTGAGTGACGGTGAGGAGAAACTACAGTCAGTGACGGTGAGGAGAAACTACAGTGAGTGACGGGACACTATAGACAGTGAGTGACGGTGAAGAGAAATTGTAGTGATAGTGAGTGACGTCGAGTGACTACAGTGAGTGACGCTGGAGGAGGAAGTAACACTACTACTCAAAATGGAGTTTGGCCTCGACGCTTCTACCCTCCAGCTGTGTGCCCAGGCCAAGTGAGTTCCTCCCCCACTATAGTCTGGGTTCCTCCCCCACTATAGTCTGAGTCCCTCCCCACTATAATCTGAGTTCCTCCCCACTATAGTCTGTGTTCCTCACTATAGTCTGAGTTCCTCCCCACTATAGTCCCAGGTTCCTCCCCCTACTATAGTCTGGTTCACTCCCCACTATAGTCAGGTGCCTCCCCTATAGTCTGAGTTCCTCCCCCACTGTAGTCTGAGTTCTCCCACACTATAGTCTGGGTTCCTCCCCCACTGAGTCTGAGTTCCTCCCCACTATAGTCTGAGTTCCTCCCCCACTATAGTCTGGGTTCCTCCCATAGTCTGAGTTCTCCCCTATAGTCTGAGTTTCCTCCTACTATGGTCTGGGTTCACTCCCCCATAGTCTGAGTTGCTCCCACACTATAGTCAGGTTCCTCCCCGCATAGTCTGGGTTCTCCCACTATAGTCTGAGTTCTCCCACTATGGTCTGAGTTGCTCACACTATAGTCTGAGTTCCTCCCACTATAGTCTGAGTTCCTCCCCACCTATAGTCTGAGTTCCTCCACTATAGTCTGGGTTCTCCCACACTATAGTCTGAGTTCGCCCCCACTATAGTCGTTCCTCCCCCACTATAGTCTGAGTTCCTTCCCCCCCTAACATAATCTATCCAATCGTAGTTCAACCTAACCTAATTTAACCTAACCCTCAAGTAACATTACGTTAGGTTAGGTTAGGTCAGAGTCAGTTAGGTCACAGTCAGTTAGGTTAGGGTTTAGAGTCTAAATCCAGTTAGGTTGGGTCTGATCAGTTAGGTTAGATTAGGTCACAGTCCCAGTGGGTTACAGGTCACAGTCAGTTAGGTTGGTCACAGCAGTTAGGTTAGGTCACAGTCAGTTTGGTTAGATGGGTCACAGTCAGTTAGGTTGGTCATGATCAGTTAGGTTAGGTCACAGCAGTTGAGTTGGTCACAGTCAGTTTGGTTGGAATTAGGTCTGATCCAGTTAGGTTGGGTCACAGTCCAGTTAGGTTAGGTCACAGCAGTTAGGTTAGGTCACAGTCAGTTAGGTTAGGTTAGAGTCACCAGTCAGTTAGGTTAGGTCTGATCCAGTTAGGTTAGGTCAGCAGTTAGGTTAGGTCACAGCAGTTAGGTTAGGTCACGATCCGGTTAGGTTGGGTCTGATCAGTTAGGTTAGGTCACAGCAGTTAGGTTAGGTCACAGCAGTTAGGTTGGGTCACAGTCCAGTTTGGTTAGGTGGGTCACAGTCAGTTAGATTAGGTCACAGTCAGTTAGGTTTTAAAATCCTTAAACAAATTACTTACTCCTGTACTGTACAAACACACGTAGTCAACCTGAAAACAAATATACAAAATAAATAAATAAATAAAATAAAAAAAATCCTGTAAATAAAACAAAACTCGTCTATTTTTCCATTGATTTTCTTTATAACAACAAAGAGTAAAATATTTTTTAAAGTCTTTATCGATGACGTAACACAACCTCTATACGTGCTTCACATTGATCCTTAACTACACACATTAACTTTTAGCTCGTCAAAATGGCATAACAAAATACACATTTATCACTCGTGGTTGAGTTAGTTGTCAAGGTGTTTGGGGTTATATTCTGTGTAATGGTGAGAGAGGGGGATGGTGAGGGAGGGGGAATGGTGGGGGATGGTGAGGGAGAGAAGATGGTGAGAGAGAGAGAGAATGGTGAGGGAGAGAGAAAGTGGTGAGGGCGAGAGAAAGTGGTGAGGGAAATGGTTGGAACATCTCTCCTAAGCATACATACATACGGTACATACATACATTCACATCCAATGCATATTTTATTTGCATACATACATACATACATACATACACACATACATGCCCAGAGAAAGTGCAGCAAAAAAGAAAGTTAAGGTTTTTGAGAAATTTCTAATTAAAGTGAGTCAGTCTCACAAGCGTGGCGGACATAGCACACTGATGCCTTTTATCCTCACATTTACTTTCCTTAATTGAAAAGTGTCGTTATTTGCAGAGAGTGTGGGGCAAGGTGCATTATAAGTGTTAATTGTTGCAGGGGCCGTGTTGCAGGGTGTATAATAAATGTGTGTGTGTGTTGCAGGGGCCGTGTTGCAGGGTGTATAATAAGTATTATTGTGTGTTGCAGGGCCGTGTTGCAGGGTGTATAATAAGTGTGTGTGTGTGTGTTACAGGGCCGTGTTGCAGGTGCCCACCTCACCTGACAGTGGCCAGCTACCAAGACCTTCATCAGTTGCCTCACTGCCCAGCCTGAGCAGACCCACAGGGCAGCTCTCTATGTCACAGTGAGTCTCCTCTCACTCCTATCAACACTCCTCCAACTCCTTCGTCCTTAGCTACAATTGCCTATCCACTAGCTCTCCTATCCTCCCTAACCATCCCCACACAACCATTAGTGATCACAATAAAACATCAAACGGTAACAGGTACATCCATCCACCCAGACATAGTGTACCTCACACCATCACCTGTCCCTATTCCAGGCAGTGGTGGTGTTCTCACTCAACCCTCCTGCTAGTGTTGGTGGGCAGGGGGACTCAGGGAGGCTTGACTACGTGCCTCTTCAACATCAGGTCATAAACACATGCTCACATATACTTACTACAACACGTATATTAAACCACTTACAATGAGCCACCACCCACAACCCGAGGCCTCAAGCAACACAAGTGTCAAGAAACGAACTCCACTGAAACATTCTATTCAGAGGATTATATGGAATGGAAAGTCCGTTATATGGAGGGACTGTTAGATGAAACCTCCATCTAACGAGCTATATAGTTTAAAGTCCGTTATATAGAGGGACTGTTAGATGAAACCTCCATCTAACGAGCTATATAGATTAAAGTCCGTTATATAGAGGGACTGTTAGATGAAACCTCCATCTAACAGGCTATATAGAGTAAAGTCCGTTATATAGAGGGACAGTTAGATGAAACCTCCATCTAACGAGCTATATAGTTTAAAGTCCGTTATATAGAGGGACTGTTAGATGAAACTTCCATCTAACGAGCTATATAGTTTAAAGTCCGTTATATAGAGGGACTGTTAGATGAAACCTCCATCTAACGAGCTATATAGTTTAAAGTCCGTTATATAGAGGGACTGTTAGATGAAACCTCCATCTAACGAGCTATATAGAGTAAAATCCGTTATATGGAGGGATTGCTAGATATGAACCCCTACCTAAAGGATTATATGGAGAGGTCCGTTATATGGAAGTCTCAGTATAACTAACTTTGGCATTAACCATCAGTGTGCTGTAATGTTTGACGGTTCACCTCAAGATTAACCACCCTAACGTGATCTACCCTAACCTAAATTAAGTCATATTAACCACTCTAATGCCAACCTAACTTAACCTAAACCAACCTCTCACCTAACCTAACATAACGTAACCTAACCTAACCCCCAGGTAGTGTTAGGGTGTCTAATCTTCAGTTATATATATCATAAAACATTAAACTGAGCCAAGTGGACCATTAATGTTTGTCGGTAATCTGTAACATACAGTATAGTACATACCAGCTTTCTTGTGGCTTAAATATTACAGTATACATGTATATATTTGTATAATGTATAATAAAAATATATGAAATGTTCTTGTACAGTAAAACCTCCATCTAATGAACTAATATAGAATGGAAGTCCGTTATATCGAGGTTTCAATTCTCTCCTTAACTCATCAATAACTCTTAACATTTGTCATGGATAATAAACCTTAAATCAGCTACTGTAATAAACAAAATACCTATACATGTTACTGATGAATATTGCTGTAGGGATGTATACTGTGTCCTGTTATGTATATATGTATAATTACATTTGTATAAACCTCATTTTATCTTATATAAATATGTCAGGTAGTAATTAATCCCCAAAAGGGTGTGTGTGGGTGTGTGTGGGTGGGTGTGTGTGTGTGTGTGTGTGTGTGTGGGTATGCAGGGTGTTTCATAGTGCACCTGTACACCATAGGAAAATTAGAGTGTTTTTTTTTATTAGTATTCTTCTGCTATAACTGGCTCTCCCATACATGAATGTTAAATTAAAATCGTCTCTTTAATTTCTCTACCTCTCAGTTTTATTTTTATTCCCTCCCTAAATAAAAAAAAGAAAAAATAACATTCATTTTCCTTTGACACCTTTTATATTGTAGGCTTCAAAATATAATGGTGTAGATAACTCAAATATCTATAATAATTCTTGACGCAAAATTGTCTAAAATATCAGTATGAGTCTGTGTAAAAGTGTCCATACTTGAATTATTAACATGATTCAATTGATAGTTAACGTAATATGGCATAAATTAACCAAAGCAAATATAACATTATATTTTAAATATTACTAGCGAGGATAGTTCATAATAAACACCGATAAAAGTTGATTGAGTTATTAGCATGTTAAATATCTCTTGAAACGTGAGCAAGTAAGTCTGCCTGACGTTCTCCCCGCCACCCTCTAACACCCTCCAAAACCACCCTACACCCTCAACACACCTACACTCTCCACCGTCTCTTCTACACCCTCCAACCTTTGCACCTACACTTCAACACCACCATACACCGTCCTTCTACCCTCCAACACACACCTACACTCTCCTGTCTCTTCTACACCCTCCAGCACACACCTACACTTCAACACCACCCTCCACCGTCCCTTCTACCTCCAGCACTCCTGCACCCTCCTTCAAACACCCTACACTCTCCACCGTCCTCTTCTACACCCCCAACACCTACACTTCTTCCTCCTGGTCGCCCTACACCCTCCGCCTCCTACACCCTCCAGCACTCCCTACACCCTCCTTGCTCCTCTCACCGTCTCTTCTACACCCTCCAACACTCTCACTCTCCACCGTCTCTTCTACACCCTCCAGCACTCTCACTCTCCACCGTCTCTTCTACACCCTCAACACTCCTACACCCTCCACCGTCCCTTCTACACCCTCCGCCTCCTACACCCCTCAGCAAACACCCTACTCTCCACCATCTCTTCTGCCCTCCCTTGCTCCTACACCCTCCTGTCCCTTCCACCTCAGCACTCTACACCCTCCAGCTCTTCCTACACTCTCCCACCGTCTCTTCCTACACCCTCCAACAAACACCTACACTCTCCACCGTCTCTTCTACACCCTCCAGCACTTGTACACCCTCCAACAAACACCTACACTCTCCACCGTCCCTTCTACACCCTCCAGCACTCCTACACCCTCCACCGTCTCTTCTACACCCTCCACTCAGATTAGCTCTATCTCCCGAACAGACTATCACACACACACGCACTATATCCAACCTCCTAAAAGCATAACAACAAACATGGCGGAGCTGTTACGGACGATAGGATACTGAAAGAAGACTCCTTGGGGGTCTTTCTTAGGTAATAGGAATAATAGGTAATAGGTATAATAGGTATATGGGTATAATAGGTATATGGGTATAATAGGTATATGGGTATAATGCCACAGTGATGGGTATTCCATTACTGCTGCTGCACATAGGTTGCCGTAAGTGAGGCGCCAGGCAGGGTAGAGAGGTTTGGTTAAGTACAGTACAGTATTGGAAACAGAAACCAAATTTTCAGGTATATAGTAATTAACTAAATCATTATTATTTATTATAGTCCTTATTACTCACTAATTATACCAGGTTAAAGACTTATAGAGAGTTTAATATAACCCCAGCTGTGGAGGATATATAGTCCTGGGAGGTCTCCAGCCCACACAACACGACAAGTCAGTTTGAGGAAAAAACATGATTTTCACAACCTTTCTACAACTTATAATCAAAACCCATTTATGTGGTTAATATTCCATTCTAACATCTACCTTTAATATAAACTGTACTGTGAAATATATATATATAGGTAAGTTAAATATTTTTCCATAACTAATATTGTTTTTTTAAATTCAATAAAGAACAATACAGTACAATATATTAATGGTGTAATTTAGTTCGTCTAAAATAAAAAATATACTAATAATTTTTTTGTCATTATATATCATGATAATTATACCATTATTAATACTATAATTTACTGTCTATATTATATTAGTCTTAATAATAAACCTCGAATTCTCCTCAGATCATTTTCTTTAACATGGAAAAAATTTATTACAAATATTTATAATTTATTATTAAAATAAAATTTGAAAATTTTCTATAATAAAACAATTTTATTTTTATCTTATTTCATTATCCTTAAATTAATGATTATCTATACATAGGCGTCACCTGAAGATTAGCCACCCCGAAACGCTACATGGGGAGGGGGGTTGTGGGGTAGGCTAGGTCAAGAAAGGTTAAGGATAGGTTAGGTTAAGTTAAATTTGCGTTAGGGTGGTAAATCATCATGTGAAATAAGCTTGGGGTGTCTAATCTTCAGGTGAACTAAGCTTGGGGTGTCTAATCTTCAGGTGAACTAAGCTTGGGGTGTCTAATCTTCAGGTGAACTAAGCTTGGGGTGTCTAATCTTCAGGTGAAATAAGCTTGGAGTGTCTAATCTTCAAGTGAACTAAGCTTGGGGTGTCTAATCTTCAGGTGAACTAAGCTTGGGGTGTCTAATCTTCAGGTGAACTAAGCTTGGAGTGTCTAATCTTCAAGTGAACTAAGCTTGGGGTGTCTAATCTTCAAGTGAACTAAACTTAGGGTGTCTAATCTTCAGGTAGGTCAACACAATACCAACTCATCACAACAGTATACACCTGATCCACCAAACACCTGTAACATTGAGACTCTGATTTCATATAAACTTATCTATAAACAATAAATAAAGTCAAAACATACAAATTTGTGTTAATTTTTGCTCCCTAATCAAATATGGAATGACGTATTGATCAACAACCAAAAAGACATTACGTTATATTATAGTAACTGACGCTGATCAACTTTTACTAACCTAACCTATATATTCACTTTACAAACTAATTACTGCACTCTAGGCGAGATAAATTAATTATCCTACTCAATAAACATTAAAAGTTAACTACTGTATTATACAAAATATTCAATATGTTGCTGTTGATATGTACTTAACGTGGAGTGAAATAATGTGGCTTAAATA